AGCGACTGACATTAATGGAGGAAATGAGAGGAGGAGAGATAGAGGTGTAACTTTCCTCTGGTCATGGTTATGCTTCGATTACATATGCGGTGTCACTCACGTGGCGGGAGAGCGGCACGACTGATGGGGGCGGTTGATCTTCTCTCTGAGTTGTTCACTCTCTATCCCTTTTTTAACAGCCTCCACACCTTCCTCCACCTCCTCCTCATTTTCTCTCAGACCTTTCTGTCCCTCGTTCACCCCCTCCTTCATTTTAGGGGGGTCGTTGTGCCCCTCTCCCGTCCCCAGATGCAGTGGGGGAGTGTGTACAATGCAGGGCTCCCTCAAAATAAGAGTCAGTATGGGCATGTTCCCAGTTCAACAGAGCTCAAATAGAAAACTGGACAGTTAAAAGTTCACAAAAAGAAAAAAAAGAAAAAAGCCATATCAGTGGTCTGAAACAGGGGTTTGCAAAATGATTGATGTAGACAAAGAATGAAGATGTAAATTAAACTAAGATTACTGAAGTACGTTTTACAAGAAAATACTATTTCAGTCTTTCTACTACAAAATTTCATGTTACTTGTCAACTTCTGAAATTTACTAGCCATTTTTGAGTGAAATACATTTTGTATAATACTGTTATTAAAATATTTTTCAGTGCACCAGCCAATTTAGCATTAGCACAATGACAAAAAAATAATAATAATAATAAGTTTTGGAAACTTTATAGTATCAAGCCTTTTTTCACACAGAGCTCCTTTTAATATATAATATATATATATATATATTTAATGCAATTTAATTTTATAAATATTATTTTAAATAATTCAATTAAATTAATTACATTTTCTTTATTCTGTGTAACACAAAAGAATATATTCTGAAATGTCTTTTTTGTATAACAATGAAAGTCAGTGGGGTCCAATGCTGTTTTGGACTCCACTGACTTTTATATGAACAAAAACACTTAAAAAACTTCTTTTGTGTCACACAAAAAATATTTTATATAATATTAAATATTTTTTATTATATTTATGGTTAAACATACAATATTAAAAACCTATAATATAACTAAAATGTTAATACATATTGTAAATATAAAAATTCTATTTACATTTAATAATAAAGGTTTTATTATTTCCATTACTTTTCCAAGCCTCAAAATGAGCATTTTAAAATCCCCTGATATTTGCAGGCTTTCCATGACCATGGGAAACCTCAATCGCACTGGCCTGTGAAACATCAACAAAAATTACCTACTGCTTTTGTACAAACACTGAAACAGAATGCCCATACAAAACTCCTTTGTTTCACTAAGCTTCAATAATCTCAAAGCCCACCACAGCAATTAGACACATGCCACAGAGGAGCTGCTCACTAACAAAACCTGTGACCCCGTCTGACATATTCGTCACCATCAGTGATATTTCTGTCGAACCTCGCCTTGTCCTCGCCTTGGGTGTGCTGAGACTCAGATTAATGTGCACCTTATGGAGGAGCTTCTTCATAGGATGCACAGGAGTTGATGTTTCTTTGTGTGAAATGGAGAGTGTGATTGTGCATGTAGATGGAGGAGAGACTCACGCATCCACATCTGCCAGGAGCTCCAGCTTGCCGGGGAAGATCTCAGACAGGAGCACACGCGTGAATGAACGGCCCAAAGACTCCAACCGAGACTCTAAGTGCTAAAGAAAGAGAGAGAGAGAGGGGAAAAAAAAGAGAGGAGTTGAATACTGAATGTTACACATATTTACATAAAGACAACACAATTTCATGCACAGGGCTCAAGGTCACCAAGAACAGCCCACATCAAACAGATCTGACCGTGTAGGAGGAAAGAGAACAGAAAATCATTACATCCAAGAATTTTCCAAATTTACTGAACAACAAGAAAACCGCTTCCTTTCGCCTAATAAGAAACCTTCACAGGATCGCTGATGCTGAACCCGTGTAAACGGCTTGTGTAAACACTTTATGTTCTTCAAAGCTTTAGTAACCACTATCAGCTCTGGGTTTCTAACATAAATGGCCAGTTTAGCTCAATTTTTTTCATGAATGATGTGGGGCTTTGTTGTTGCCTTGATTTATTAGTTTCCCCAAAGAACCAATCTAATGAGCCTGAGGTGGAAGAACTTAACTGGTCTGCACAAAGACCTGAACCCCAGTGAACACCTTTGAAATTAATCAGAAATAGGGATGCCCAATATTTTGGTGGTTATACCAGTATTAGGTATCTTTTTAATTGATCTGCATCACATAACATTGGATTGTATATTTTATCGCTCATGCTCATTTCCTCTATTTATACATTTACAGTAGATTATCTTTGCCATTGTTTAACGCACTGATAATTAACCCTGTTAAACGTAATCTTTAGCAGATTTTAAAATGAATATCCTTTTCTCATACTGTACATCATAATGTTGTGATGAATAAATTCACTTGTAGCATTTAGAACTATTTTTTTAAATTGATAATTATATTTTAGATTTATTTAGGCTTATTTAAAATATTTGTAAATTTTTTTTTTAAAACAAAACAGTACAAATTTTTATGAGTCCTTTAACTGGTTACCACCCATAACAAGAAAATAATAATTGGCTCATCAATATCGGCCAGAATTTTTGGCCATATTTAAGAGAAAAAAGTGTCTCCTGTGGTATTATTTTATGTTCATAGGAAATCTACAACTTACTGCTAAATTATGAAAATTACTGTCAAGTATGAAGAGTGCTGTTGTTAAAACTTACCTCACTACCAGTGATGCTAGGCTACAATCCAGCTACTCCACAAATAAACCTGCATGATATGATTAGGTCATGACGCGGACAGCACACAAACAGAATTCAACACGCTGATTATCCTCTGCCGTGCCGACAGGAGAAGACCTGCCATAGTTAATGGGAGTATAGATTAACCTGGCAATCCTGATGGATGCCCTGGGGAACGCAGCCACAATTAGAAAGGCTAATTAAGACACGTTTATGAAACACTACGGAACATAATGTGGGTGGGATCTCCCTGGGCCCAACGGAGCAAAGGCTAAACCAGCCATTCTTCACTCTCGCACACACACAGTGACAGAAAAATGCTCTTCATTCTCCTTGTCTCTCAAACATACCAGCTGTGTTTGCTGCCCTGTACCTGCTAAGGAAACAGAAAGTATGGATGCACAATATATTAGTACCATATCAGTTATCAGCCAATGTTAAAATATTATCGGTTTAATTTATTCCTTCATGCAAATTTTCAGTTTTAACATTTAGATCATCTTTGCCATCATCTAACACTCAAAGCTAAATTTGAGTGCCCCTCCACACATTTTTCATTTTCCTTTATATGTTGCCGTAATAAAACACACCAATTTTCTCTCTCTGTCTCTTTTAAGGCCCTCTATTACAAATATTGCATTTAAAGCAGAGGCATTAAACTCTCAGAGGTTTCCCGGCTCAGCTTTTAACAGTATAACTTAAAATATAACAAAATGTATTGATGCATTTGGTAGCGATGGAACTATTGAGAATACAAGATTAGAAATGGCCAAATTTGCAGTTCTTAAAACCGCTTTTCAAAGCACCGACCCATTCACCCTCAGTTCAGTTCATTATGTCTTCGGCAATGAGACGGAGCTCCCTCTTGTTTCAGAAGAAATCCCAAATGAAAACCGGAGGTCTGTGTGAAGACCTGTGGCGTTCGTCAAATTTTATTAAATACAGAGCACTTTACGGTCCGCCCAACTCAAAAGAGATTTTATGAAGGTGCCGATCAGCCATGAACCTGTGTAATTTTTCAGCACAAAGCTGCAATCATCTTCTCCGTGGGACTTTATTCAGACCCCCAGCCAACATATTACTTCTTATGAGAATGTCAGGCTCTGTATAAGCTTAATTAGCTGTTAATTATATGGTGGCAATTCAGCTTTGCAATATAACATCACATTACTACACTGTAGGTTGTCAGAGAAAGTTTTTAATTTGATCGCTGAGGGTGAGGGCAAAAAGTAAATGATCTATGATAAAGGCTATTTGCATAATAGCGGTGTCATTTTGGGGGTCAGTGACATGACCACTTGTGTATGTCTAATGTTGACAGGCGCCCTGACGAAGAGGTGATGGGTGAAAATTAAGATTAACACGCATCAATGCTCTTCATTCCTCTCTCCCCTAACACACACACACACACACATCACAGACTCTGTACGCTGGATTAAGAGGCAGAGAACTCAAACACACACACACACCCTCTGTGTACAGACACACACAGACAAGAGGTTTCCATCTATCTCACAGGAGCAGAGCTTGCTGCTCACGGCTGCTGTGTGATACAGAGAATAATAGATCACACACACACACACATATACCTGCTGCCTAATGTCTCGTCTCTGTGTTGCAACAGCACTTGACACGCTTCTCATTAAAGTCAGCTTGAAACTGCATTCGCAACGCATTTAACTTACGCAATGTGACATTTCAGAGAGAAACAATATTCTGCAGGTAAAAATGTGAGGCGGGTCTTGATGTTGATTGGATTGTGAAAAGTAGCATATAATATTATTGGTTAGTATTATTTTTCCTACCCACGAGGCCTTGGTCACATCAGCAGAAAAGTTGTTTAAAAGGAAGTGACAATCATTTTTTATGATAGCCCAAGTAAACGTTTTTTTTTTTTCTTTAGAACAACATGCACTATTGAATTTGTGCACAATGAAACCAGTGATACATATTAAGAAAGTAAACCTGGTCAGTTTTGATTTCATATATAAAAGGTCATATACATAAACAGTGTAAAATAAAATAATAAAATGAAATAAAATATAAAAAATTTTGTGTCATACTGCTCTTATTATATTGTCATTTTGTTCGGCTGGAATGCTGTACTGGCCAATCAGAATCAAGGGCTGAAACCATCAATTTCAAATAAATGAATAAATGAACAAATATATAAATAAATCTAAAACACACACACATACTTACTTACTACTTACTACACATACTCAACATGGGCTAGAACTGTTTTGCTTACATGATGGCATTGACTTTCTTCTCCAGACGAGGTGAGGTGCATCCGAGGATCTCCCCAGGAGAAAGCGGCCGACACTGAGGTACCAACACCTCATAATCTGGCTTCAGCTCTGCACTGGCTGCCTGTGAAGAGAAAGGAAAGGGATGCTGAGACCAAAGAAGCAACTTTCCCACCAAAAAGTTGTTGCGCAGAAGCCAGTGTCTAATCTGGAACCACGCCACATGTTTTCACCTTTCTTGAAAAGGTGGTTCTGGGCTGGAAAATCTTACTCCACGCTAACCCTCTAAACCTGCGGGTACTGAACCAAGAAACAGTAATGTCAGAGGCCTGAGGGCAGGATAATTTTCGCACCGAACACAATTTTAATGAAAGGACAGTCTTAACTTTAGCTTCTTTTGGAACAATTTTTGCTGATGAACAAACGGTCCAAATTTAGTCTGAAACTCAGGAACTCAGCATTAACTTTTTTTTTTTTTTACTTTTGTATAACAGCAATATCATAATCATGCTGAATGTACTGCATAGGACTGCATAGTATCAGATTTGCTTTAATATATTATATACACTACCATTCAAAATTTTGGGATCAGTGAGATTTTTAATGTCTCTGAGAGAAGTCTCTTATGCTCACCAAGGCTGCGTTTGTTTGATCAAAAACACAGTAAAAACAGCAATTTTAAGAAATATTATTACAATTTAAAATAACTGTTTTCTATTTTAATATATTTAAAAAAAAAGTAATTTATTCCAGTGATAACAAAGCTGAATTTTCAGCAGGCATCTCTCTAGTTTTCAGTGTCATATGATCCTTCAGAAATGATTCTAATATGCTGATTTGCTGCTCAAGAAACATTTCTAATTATTATCAATGTTGAAAACAGTTGTGCTGCTTCATACTTTTAGGGAAACTGTGATATATTTTTTAAGGATCCTTTGAATAGAAAGTTCAAAAACAGAAATCTTTTAAAAAATTTGTAACAAATGACTTCACTGTCAGTCACTTCACTGTCACAACTGAATTTATACTTGTTGAAAATGTAATTTATTTTTCTTAAAAAACAAACAAACAAAAAAATGTATTGAACACTGTGAACGTTTGAATGCTAGCTTAAACAGTATGTGAACTGATTGTTATGAATTTTATTCACTATACACCTAAATAAACTCCTAAACGCTCCTGGTGCCATAATACTGCTGAATCAAACTACTCTTAGTGTTAAAATATGTTCTTAAACTCATTAGACTTGTAAACAAAGGATGCTTGTTTGTATAGTAATATAGTCAGGTTCTGAGAGTAGCTTGCAGCTCTGGCTGAGCACTGGGTCTGGAACGTGTAATGACATCTTTTAAGTGGAAGGAAAGAGAGACAGATACAATCAGAGAAACAGTCATCCAGCACATCTCCCAACACCTACAGGCTTTCCTTTCCAACGAAAAGGAAGCAAATAAATGGTGCCAAATAAATAAAGGCAAGAAAGCTGCAGTAATGCATCGGCGGCGGAGACATTACGGTTAAGATTTTGACGAGCAGAGAAAATAACAAAAACACATAAAACGTGTGCATTCACACCCCTCTGACCACCAGCACCCACCCAGAGCACGGGAATGGGCCTACACACACACGATACACAGGCCATGCTATTTCCAGAAATAACATAGGTCATTTTTAGGCAGGAGGGTGAAATCGACAGCGAGGAGTAGAGAGCGAAACAAGGAAAAAAAAGGAAGGGAAGAAAATCTCACTCTTATGTAAGCCGGAGTGCTGAGTGCAACATGACTTCTGATAATTCCTCCTCTTGTGCAGTTCAAAATAACTTTAACTGCATTTCACACCCACATACACAAACACACACTATTATAGGAGCAAACACACACACACGCGGGCAGCCTTATGTGCTGTCAGAGACCTTGAAGCAGGAAGGTAAGTGATAGATAGAGAGAAAGAGAGACAGTAAACGAATCAGAGAACATCTTCAACTGCAGGGAATAGTTATCATTGAGTAAGAAGTGGGGGGTCAAAGGTCACCTGTAAAGCAGCCACAAACTGGATGGTGCTGACGAGGGCGAGCGAGTGGCCAGGGGGAAAGTTGAACCTGAGTGTGTCCAGGAAGTGGGCAGTGTCAATCTGGATGTCCACAAACACATACAGCATCTTGATGCCCTCAGTTGAGTCTATGGGGACTGGAGACACAAACAACATTAGCATATTTCACTCAACACACATTCAAATGATTCTTTTATCCGTAGGTTGACTTCCTATTTTTTCTCTAAATTAACTTTTTTTTTTTTTTACTTTTGTATAACAGCAATATCATAATCATGCTGAATGTACTGCATAGGACTGCATAGTATCAGATTTGCTTTAATATATTATATACACTACCATTCGAAATTTTGGGATCAGTGAGATTTTTAATGTCTCTGAGAGAAGTCTCTTATGCTCACCAAGGCTGCGTTTGTTTGATCAAAAACACAGTAAAAACAGCAATTTTAGAAATATTTATTACAATTTAAAATAACTGTTTTCTATTTTAATATATTTAAAAAAAAGTAATTTATTCCAGTGATAACAAAGCTGAATTTTCAGCAGGCATCTCTCTAGTTTTCAGTGTCATATGATCCTTCAGAAATGATTCTAATATGCTGATTTGCTGCTCAAGAAACATTTCTAATTATTATCAATGTTGAAAACAGTTGTGCTGCTTCATACTTTTAGGGAAACTGTGATATATTTTTTAAGGATCCTTTGAATAGAAAGTTCAAAAACAGAAATCTTTTAAAAAATTTGTAACAAATGACTTCACTGTCAGTCACTTCACTGTCACAACTGAATTTATACTTGTTGAAAATGTAATTTATTTTTCTTAAAAAACAAACAAACAAAAAAATGTATTGAACACTGTGAACGTTTGAATGCTAGCTTAAACAGTATGTGAACTGATTGTTATGAATTTTATTCACTATACACCTAAATAAACTCCTAAACGCTCCTGGTGCCATAATACTGCTGAATCAAACTACTCTTAGTGTTAAAATATGTTCTTAAACTCATTAGACTTGTAAACAAAGGATGCTTGTTTGTATAGTAATATAGTCAGGTTCTGAGAGTAGCTTGCAGCTCTGGCTGAGCACTGGGTCTGGAACGTGTAATGACATCTTTTAAGTGGAAGGAAAGAGAGACAGATACAATCAGAGAAACAGTCATCCAGCACATCTCCCAACACCTACAGGCTTTCCTTTCCAACGAAAAGGAAGCAAATAAATGGTGCCAAATAAATAAAGGCAAGAAAGCTGCAGTAATGCATCGGCGGCGGAGACATTACGGTTAAGATTTTGACGAGCAGAGAAAATAACAAAAACACATAAAACGTGTGCATTCACACCCCTCTGACCACCAGCACCCACCCAGAGCACGGGAATGGGCCTACACACACACGATACACAGGCCATGCTATTTCCAGAAATAACATAGGTCATTTTTAGGCAGGAGGGTGAAATCGACAGCGAGGAGTAGAGAGCGAAACAAGGAAAAAAAAGGAAGGGAAGAAAATCTCACTCTTATGTAAGCCGGAGTGCTGAGTGCAACATGACTTCTGATAATTCCTCCTCTTGTGCAGTTCAAAATAACTTTAACTGCATTTCACACCCACAAACACAAACACACACTATTATAGGAGCAAACACACACACACGCGGGCAGCCTTATGTGCTGTCAGAGACCTTGAAGCAGGAAGGTAAGTGATAGAGAGAGAGAGAGAGAGAGAGAGAGAGACAGTAAGCGAATCAGAGAACATCTTTAACCGCAGGGAATAGTTATCATTGAGTAAGAAGCGGTTGGTCAAAGGTCACCTGTAAAGCAGCCACAAACTGGATGGTGCTGACGAGGGCGAGTGAGTGGCCAGGGGGAAAGTTGAACCTGAGTGTGTCCAGGAAGTGGGCAGTGTCAATCTGGATGTCCACAAACACATACAGCATCTTGATGCCCTCAGTTGAGTCTATGGGGACTGGAGACACAAACAACATTAGCATATTTCACTCAACACACATTCAAATGATTCTTTTATCCGTAGGTTGACTTCCTATTTTTTCTCTAAACTGAAAAATATAAATTTGGAATTCAACATTGTTTGTGCTACAGACACAAATGATCTCACAAATCACATGGTGCAATCAAGTCCTTCTGTGAAGTTTGCATTTACAATTTGGGAAGTTGTAATTAGAACACCAGATGAATTTAAATCACTTTGGTCCAAATAAGATGGCATGTATCTTTTCTACAAAAAAGAAAAAGGAAAAAAAAGAAAAACAGCAGAGTTTTTAACTCCACTTCTACAAAATGATTGTAGAATCATTCTTCCCGACCTACAAACTACATTACAGATTGGTAGATATAATGTGCATCAGGTGTGTTTTTTGCTTTTTTAATGTTAAGGTTTTGTAAACCGAATCATTATATCTACATTCGTAGTTGCAGAATTTTGAACATGCAAATTTGCTAAATTAAAAAATGTAAAAAAAAAAAAATCAATGCTTTAAACTAATTTATGGGTAATACAGATGCTGCTCCACTGCATACTTTGAGTTTTTGTTCAACACATTAAATATTATCTTTCTGACATTACTTGAACGCGCCAACAGAATTACGATTTTCACCTGGTAGAGCAAACAGGCACAACAACCTCTTTCACCCAAAAATTCTGTCATCATTTACTCACCTCATGTTGTTCCAAACCTGTATGACTTTATTAGAAACACAACAGAAAATATTTTGAAGAATGTTTTGTCCATATAATGAAAGTCAATGGGGTCCAAAAAAAAGAAGACATTTTTCAAACAACTGTGCTCCACAGAATAAAGAATTCAGGTTTGGAATGATATTGAGTAATCTTCCCGACCTACAAACTACGTTACAGATTGGTAGATATAATGTGCATCAGGTGTGTTTTTTGCTTTTTTAATGTTAAGGTTTTGTAAACCGAATCATTATATCTACATTCGTAGTTGCAGAATTTTGAACATGCAAATTTGCTAAATTAAAAAATGTAAAAAAAAAAAAATCAATGCTTTAAACTAATTTATGGGTAATACAGATGCTGCTCCACTGCATACTTTGAGTTTTTGTTCAACACATTAAATATTATCTTTCTGACATTACTTGAACGCGCCAACAGAATTACGATTTTCACCTGGTAGAGCAAACAGGCACAACAACCTCTTTCACCCAAAAATTCTGTCATCATTTACTCACCTCATGTTGTTCCAAACCTGTATGACTTTATTAGAAACACAACAGAAAATATTTTGAAGAATGTTTTGTCCATATAATGAAAGTCAATGGGGTCCAAAAAAAGAAGACATTTTTCAAACAACTGTGCTCCACAGAATAAAGAATTCAGGTTTGGAATGATATTGAGTAAATGATCCTGGATTTCTCATTTTAGTATGAACCATTCCTTTTCAGATCCATCTGAAATTGCACACTGTGAGAGTACTGCATTTAATGAAAAACTTCTCAACCTTTGTTCTACTGCACAAGTATGCATGTGCGTAGTATGAGTACAACCCGCACATACTACATCCACTATGCTGGTATTGTCATAAGTTCATTGTCATAAACTGCAAACTCACAACAAAGTAAATAAATGTCTTGAAAACTCAGAAAAGTTTGTGTTAGTCAGCCTACCTCCGATCTACTGATGACAGTAACTCAAGAAAAGAGAAAATCATACAATTGCTATTAATGCCATTCAATTTACACCCCATTTAAAAGACAGCAGAGCTGAAAGAGGAAGGCGGGCTTCAGTCTTCTCCCATCTACATTATCATTTACTGCTGATGGTCATAATTGCTGCTCTTCTTGTAGCATTCTCTTTAAAGCCCATGCTCTAATGGCCATTTCACTGCTATTAGGCAAATGCCACCTTTAGGGAGTGTTTTAAACATGGAGCCCATTTAACTATGTAAGAACAGATGGCAAGACAGTGAGGCAAGTAGGAAGAGAGGAAGTAAATTTACCTCTCAAAGCAGGAAGATCAACAGAGGCTTCTCAGCAAGCACACATTGCCTAGACGTCTATGACAAAGTACATATTTTGGAGAGCACTTCATATTTTAAAGGGATAGTTAAAATTGACTCAGTCTCATGTAGTTCCAAACCTGTATGCTTTTTTTCTTCAGTGGAACATATAAGAAGTGGAAATATCTTCTTTTTTTTTTCTTTGTCCATACAATGGAAGTCAATGGTAACCAAAACGGTTTATCATTTTTGAACATGGTTTTGAAAATCTCAGGAAAAGATGGACAAAGTGAGAGAAATGTTGATTATAAACATATTTCATTCAGTGCTGAAAAAGTACTGCTAAAGATAGCTCAGTGTAAATAAAAGCATTATTTTACGCAAAATGTTTGTGTGCCATGTGTTATTATGCTTTTAGAGTACTGTGCTGTTAGCTTAGTGACATGCTAACATCACAGCTCTATTAAATTGCACGTCAAGCTGCCTCTTTGAGTTCCAAATCAATCAGTTATAAGTTTCCATAGCAGTTAGGATGATCCCTTAGAAGGCAGCTGCCTATAGGCATTAAGCAGCGAGGCAACTTACAAGGTTTTAGAACAGAGCTACTGAATAGATGTCATGGACAACATTTACGGTTAGGGGAAGTGATATACAGGTGCATCTCAATAAATTAGAATGTCGTGGAAAAGTTCATTTAAGTAATTCAACTCAAATTGTGAAACTTAAATAAATTAAATAAATTCAATGCACACAGACTGAAGTAGTTTAAGTCTTTGGTTCTTTTAATTGTGATGATTTTGGCTCACATTTAACAAAAACCCACCAATTCACTATCTTAACAAATTAGAATATGGTGACATGCCAATCAGCTAATCAATTCAAAACACCTGCAAAGGTTTCCTGAGGCTTCAAAATGGTCTCTCAGTTTGGTTCACTAGGCTACACAATCATGGGGAAGACTGCTGATCTGACAGTTGTCCAGAAGACAATCATTGACACCCTTCACAAGGAGGGTAAGCCACAAACATTCATTGCCAAAGAAGCTGGCTGTTCACAGAGTGCTGTATCCAAGCATGTTAACAGAAAGTTGAGTGGAAGAAAAAGATGCTAATTTATTGAGATGCACCTGTACATGACTTAGGGGAAAGAGAGAAAGAGAGACTTCTGGGAGAGAGATTTTACTGACTGTGGCAATAAAGTTTTATTCTTGCAAAGTTTTGCATTCAAGTGGGTCACTGTCAGAATGCACATACATGCAGGGCTATTTTCATACACACATGAAACACACAAGTGGCAATACCCTCTTTCCGCAGGTGCCAGAAAACAAAAGAAAAAGACGTGGAGGGGCCGGGGGGTTGAAGATAAGTGGAATCGATCCATTTCTCTTATCCAATTAGCACGGCAGACTGAGAGCACTTACTCACTGCAATTACAGCTGTTGTCAATAAAAGTCATGGATTCTCCATCCCCTCGTCTCCTTCCATTCTCTATTGTTTTCTTAAGGAGATAAAATATAAGCAGATATGATTGAGGAGCTTCATAAAATCTGGAAAAATTACATTGCCCAGATACAGGTTTTTTTTTTGGTTCATTATGAAACGGCGGGACAGATTGGCCGTCAAAGTGTGTGTGTGTTTGTGTGTGTGTGTGTATATATATATATATATATATATATATATACACACCTTTTTGCTGCTTCATCAGCTGTTTTTTCGCTTGCCAAAAAAGTCACCATACAAAAAAATAAAAGCTTTTTGCACTTGCTTTCAGAACTGTCACTAAAGTTAACCTTTAAGACTTGAATACTGTTGGTCTCAAGGATATTGTGGAAAAGAAACATAAAAAAACAAACAAACAACAGAGCGAAAATAAGTGATATGTCAAGGAATTCCTAACCAAAGAAAATAATTATATGTATAAGTCCTACACGTGAGGAGGACTTCCCCAAAAGGAGGTTTTGGGAGATTTTGTCAGGTGTATTTCACTTCTGGGTATATATACATTTACATACAGTATGTACAGCAATTAAAGCAGTTACACTACTATAATTTCAATACATACTGTAGCTTACACTGACAAACGCACATTTCCAGAAGATCTATGTTTGTCTGCGTATTAATGTTCTTGTTAAGGTTCGCAGGAGGCTTCGGACATCAGATGCAGGATTAATATTCCCCTTGGCCAGCTCTGGTATTTGGGAGATGTGTGATTGTTCTGTTGGAGATATATTAGCCCTATTGATTTAGCATTTCCTCTACTGTATGTTGTGCTGCTGACAGGCAGTGGGGGGTAAAAGAGCGGCTTCCTCTAGGCTGGCACGTCCAGGCCTTTTAAAGGACACCCTTAATGCATGTTCACTATTGATCTGCTGAGCACACGTGCAGGCAGGGTCATTCAAAACATCTGCTATCCCTTACACATCACGGCTCCGACTGGCTACCATACTGAGCTATTGAGAGCAGCTTTGCAAAGCACTCCAAGAGTAAATCTATACATCTCTACTTCTCCTTACCACGGCCGACTGTCTCCAGCCTTTGCTATTAGAAATTCCCACAGAGATTTCTTGGTCTCTTTCGCAATTATTTTTTCAAACATGCAGTTGCCTGTCAATGAAAGACCCTGAAGCATGCTGACGAGAAACCGCAGGAACATAAAAAGATGATAGATGAGACGTCTTCCTTTATGAAAATTAATTTGTGGGTGTGCGGTCTATAAATATGTTAACGGAAAAGTTATAATACGTAGCTCTGAAGAATCCAAACCTGTTTGACTTACTTTCTTCTGTGGAACACAAAAGGAGAATTTCACACAACCCTTTTCCATACCAGTGTTATTTTAGTATTATTTATTTAGTATTTATTCATATTTTGAATTAGCTTTTATTTTTATATTTTCAATTTTCATTTTAAGTTTTAGTAATTTTGTTGTGTGCTTTTGTCATTAGCTGTTTTGTTAATGTATAGCTTTAATTAATATTTATTTCAGGCTTAGTGTGAGTAAATTTTGCACTTAAACTTTCAGTTAGTGTCAAGGCAACCTCTCCAAGTAAAAATTTTTTCCCCCATTTATTTAAGTTTAGTTTTTTAGTTAAATATATACATATATATATATATATATATATACATATATATATATATATTCCCAGCTTCATTTCCATGACCAAAAACTATTTTTAATAATTTTAGTTTTAACTAACAATAACAACAGAGTTGTTTCAGACAATGAAAGTCAATGGTGACCAGGGGACTGTCACGCTCCAAAAATAACAAAAATGCACCAAAGTATCAAAATGTTTGCATTCCACATAAGAAAGTAAGTCATACAGGTTTGGAATGACATGAGGGTGAACAAATGATATCAGAATGTTCAATTTGGGTAAACTGTCCCTTTAATTCACATATAAGAATTTTGTGTGCATACAACTCACTGAGACAACTGTGCCCATAATGCACCATGAAGTCGGCTCCTAAAGCGCGGGCAGTGAAGTCGTCCACGCAGCAGGCCCCGTATGTCACATCTCCCATCACTAGTGTGTCCGCCTCTGTGAATCTGACAAACAACACAATCAACCAATCAATGACCTTGATCACCACCCTATTGCAATTCAGATCAATCAGGCTGTAAATAAAAAGACGAGTCCACACAGTTGGCAGATCAATCACTCTCAAGCGGAAATGTCACTCAGACATCCATGTATTCAGTTAAGTGGGCTCCCGCTAGTCGTAAACTGATGCACTCTGTGCAGTCTGGAAAAACATCCAGAATAACCTTCAGAGACGACAGAGCACTGGACAATGATTAACATAAACGTTCACTGATGGTAAACGTTCAAGTTCCACGTTAAGTTTTATAGCTATGGATGCACACTGTCCTACGAAAAAATAGTTGAGCCGGTTATCGAAAACTTAAACTGTAGGTTCAAACCAGTGGTAATAACGATCTCTACCTCCTCTGCCAACATTTTTACTGGAAACAAAACAAAACTAAATTTATCATTTTAAATGCATACTTTTTAAATGTATAGTTTTTACATGTATTATTTAATATTTTTAAAATTAAAAATATATTATACATTTTCGCACAAATTGTTTGATAACTTATTAAACTAAGTAATACATTCATAATTAAAAAATGTAAATTATATTAAAAAATTCTCACTTGAAAACCAATAAATTAATAAACATGTTTGCTGTAAAATCATGGCATACAGTAAAACAGATTTTTTTAATGATTACTTTGTAATTTTAAGTCTAATTCTTACGGATTCTACCTTTTTTGCAATTTTGACAAAGCTTGGGACTATGTCAGCAAGCTAAACATTTTTTGCCTAGCAGACAAGTTTAAACAGTTTCAAAATTCACAATCAAGTGTCACAGAAAATTTTTAAATCAGCATAAAAATGAAAAGCACATACATGATCCAAAAATTATGAGATACGGTGGTAACCCAATAGAGCCAGTGACCCAAAATTCTCATACTGACTTCCATTCTTAAAAAACATATCATGGCCAGTAAGAGATATTTAATAAATATTTATTAATTCACTTGTCATTAGCAGGTGTGGAAAAGCAGTAGACTCTGAATGTAAGAATTTAAGTCTGCAAAATGACTTTTTACTATGCAAGGGAAGACATTACTGAGCCACCATCTCCAGTACAGCACACTCTTCAGAGATGCTGCTACAAATTGTCCTTGGCTTCCTTTCTTCACTTTGTAGGACAACGACAAGCATTCCAGTGAGGTGGATCTCTGAGGAGCTGTTTGAAGAACCAACGATCTGTTTTTGTTTGCTTCGGCAGGGGTCGTTAAGTGTTAGCACATCTATTGACTGGCGCACTGCTGCCGCCTCTCCTCTGTGTGAAATTTAAATGCAGGATAAACATGAGACAGGAGCACATAAATTATGAGTGAGAAAAAACGAGAGAGAATGAATATGTGAGGAGAAGAAAGGAGGGAAAATGAGAGTAGAGGCTGTTGTATGGGAAGCTGGCTGTCTGGAAGCAGACATATTTAGGACAGGTATTATTAATAGAACACAGACACATTTTCTTTGGTTTTATACACACACACACACTTCTAAACTTCACCTGATTCACCTTCTAACCTCTCATTCAGAATGAACTGTTGAAAGTGGCCAGTACTAACTTCTAGGAACTTAAGTGTTTAATTATCATGAAAATAAAATCAATGCAAAAAAAAAAATAAGGCTGTCAATTTAACACACACACACACACACACACACACACACACACACACACATCTGGTCAGCTATCCTTGTGACTCTCCATAGGCGTAATGGTTTTTCTACTGTACAGACCGTATTTTCTATTGCCCTACACCAACCCTACCCCTAAACCTACCCTTTACAGGAAACTTTCTGCATTTTTACTTTCTCAAAAAAACTAATTCTGTATGATTTATAAGCTTTTGTACCCATGGGGACCTCAATTTAGGTCCCCACCGTGACACGAGTCCCCATGAGTCTGTGTGTATTCAGGTTTAAGTCCCCACCAGGATATATAAACCTGTACACACACACATATGCAATCGATTTGATTAATTGGCATAACACAATTAGTTCAATAAAAAATGTTTTTGAAAAAATTGAAAGTCCTATGCAAAATGTTTTTAATTGGAGATGTTCACATGTTTTCTTGAAATTCACATTGGCTTTCTGTGTCTCACACACACATAGACACACATCGTCCTCTTCATAACACACTCCCAGCGTTTGTGTCTCATGCATGGCTTACTTCTGTAACCCAGTGCCCTCAAACACACCCTCTCTCCCCACACACAGTTATTCTCATGTGAAAGACGCAGGCAGGCAGCCATTGCTTGTAAAGCAGAGAGAGATGAATGAGGAGAGCTCATCTGGTAAATAAATATTTGCCGTGGTAGATTTGATACGCTCATCCTTTCTTTCATCAAGATCCCTCTCTTTCTGCCCATCTGCTACACATTTGCACAGGCATATACACGAGGGGGTGGCATCATCACCGGCCCAAAACAATAGGACACACACAAGACAGTTCAAAACAATACATGTACAGTGGCCCCAAAAGTATTTGGGAACTCTCAAGTCACACTTAAAAATGTATGAATGTCATTGCATCACATAACAAAACATCAAACTGTAGCACTGCACAGAGATGCACTGCCCACACTGAAAACTCACTGTACCAAAATCCCACTCCTCATGTTAAGCATCAAACATAGATGAGCAGACATGGATGCCCTTACGAAAAAGAAGTTTATTCAAGACTGCTATTAGTATACTTCTTTTAAACTAAAAATAGGAAAGTATACTTTTAGTCTACTTTTTACGTACTTCTCAGAAATGGGCTTTATGTACTTCTCAGAAATATACAGTGGGTACGGAAAGTATTCAGACCCCCTTAAATTTTTCACTCTTTGTTATATTGCAGCCATTTGCTAAAATCATTTAAGTTAATTTTTTTTCCTCATTAATGTACACACAGCACCCCATATTGACAGAAAAACACAGAATTGTTGACATTTATGCAGATGTTGCTTGTAAAGCAGAGAGAGATGAATGAGGAGAGCTCATCTGGTAAATAAATATTTGCCGTGGTAGATTTGATACGCTCATCCTTTCTTTCATCAAGGTCCCTCTCTTTCTGCCCATCTGCTACACATTTGCACAGGCATATACACGAGGGGGTGGCATCATCACCGGCCCAAAACAATAGGACACACACAAACAAGACAGTTCAAAACAATACATGTACAGTGGCCCCAAAATATTTGGGAACTCTCAAGTCACACTTAAAAATGTATGAATGTCATTGCATCACATAACAAAACATCAAACTGTAGCACTGCACAGAGATGCACTGCCCACACTGAAAACTCGCTGTACCAAAATCCCACTCCTCATGTTAAGCATCAAACATAGATGAGCAGACATGGATGCCCTTACGAAAAAGAAGTTTATTCAAGACTGCTATTAGTATACTTCTTTTAAACTAAAAATAGGAAAGTATACTTTTAGTCTACTTTTTACGTACTTCTCAGAAATGGGCTTTATGTACTTCTCAGAAATATACAGTGGGTACGGAAAGTATTCAGACCCCCTTAAATTAAAAAAAAAAAAACTGAAATGTCACATGGTCCTAAGTATTCAGACCCTTTGCTGTGACACTCATATATTTAACTCAGGTGCTGTCCATCTCTTCTGATCATCCTTGAGATGGTTCTACACCTTCATTTGAGACCAGCTGTGTTTGATTATACTGATTGGACTTGATTAGGAAAGCCACACACCTGTCTATATAAGACCTTACAGCTCACA